AGACTGAAATAGCGGTTAGGAGTATATTAAATATACACCAACAAAACACAGGACCACACACCCAACATCTGTCCGCTCACCTGAAAAATAAATGGATAAATACATAGAGGGCATATATAAAAATACACACATACCCATACACATATAAAGATATACATACATACATGCCTACATTCATAAATATTGTCCGTATATACACATAGACATATATACACACTCAGTGACCTGTCAGAACCCCCGGATCAGAGCACCTGTTTGTGAGCAGTTGTGAACATGTGTGTATATACAAGATTTCTCCAATGGAATATTTAATGGTGACTGTGGAGGACGTAGACCCAACCCCCAAGACACGAGGCAGACATGGAGAAGACCAGAGCCCAAGGGCCCGAGAGGAATCCCGGGCGCAGAGCCCCAAGGGGCACCCGCACATGAAGATCCGCCCAACCACCCCCCAGATCAGACCATAGGGGAGAACTGGGAGAGTCCCCCCAGCGACCACACGCACAGCCCCCYGGGCCAGCAGCGACAAACTCATGGGCCCCACCGGCACCCGCCATACCABAGCAGATCCAGGAAAGGGCACAGAGGTCRYGGKCCCCAGGGCGCACCCCCTCCAGGCCAAAGCCCGACAGGCCCAGGGCCCCGAGCCCCAACAGGCAGTCACCAGGCCAGGCCAGCACACACCCCAGCACCCAGCCCCAGACCCTGGGAACCCCCAGCACGCCGGCGGCCAGCCGCACACCCCACCGGACGGCAGAGTAGCAGCGGGCCCCCAGATAAACCAGCAGTACGGGCAGCCCAGACTGCAGCCTGACAAATACCCAAACATACACAATCGCACCATCCCACCCTCATCCTCACCCCCACTCAGTCAAAGACATACAAGGATGCCACATTCCACTCATACCCCCGTACTTTGATTTCTGACATTTTATTTATATTGTAAATCCAAGAGAGACTGGCGATCATATACAGTACCAGCAGAAACCCGGTCTGTGAAATGTTAACGCTTACAAACAGCACAAAGACAGACACGAGTTGGAGCAACAGTTAGTGTGCCACACATACTGCAGCTTGCGGTGTCGTACAACCAGACTGGGAAACAATTTCTTTCCACAAGCCATTAGACTCATCAACACAGTGAAGAAAACCAAATGAACATTTGAAGGATAATGAAAAACATTTCATAAACATTTCTTTCTCATCACCACTTGTGCTTTAATCATTGCACCTTACACAATGACATCTATATTATCTCATTATCTGTATTATGTTTACAGTGTTATACAAAGTCACTTTATCTATACAGTACATTACCTCACATTATCTGTGTGCCCACTGATTGTACCTCTGCTGCGATGTGTGTGTGTGCATGGTTGTGTATTTAGTGTCCATCAGTACTGTATTTTTGTTACACAGGGTATTGCAATGTGTTGTATCAATGTGTATGTGTGTGGGTGTGTGTTCTGAGTGACCATGTCAGAAGAGAATGTAAACTCATGAATCAATATGTAAGTTTTTTTATTGCACATTGTGTGGGTATGTGTGTGTGTGTGTGTGTGTGTGTGGGGGGGGGGGGGGTAATGTCAATGTCATATTGATATGTTTATGTTTAACTGCACATTGGAGACTGGTGAAACGCAATGTGTGCTAACCCTGTGACATAGATTTTGACAATAAAGTAAACTTGAACTTGAACATATTTGCGCCATCTTGTCCACCATCCATCATCCAAACAGAGAAAGTGCTGATTTTAACGGACGGTGTTGGCGGTTTTTGTTTATAGTACAAAAAAGTAAACCCACATGCATGCAGGCTGAATAACTGGCTGCTCCAGGTCTGAGTACAGCTGAGTCCTGCTGGCTTGACCGAAAACGTGTGTGCAACGGCAGATGGACCTGACTGGCACAGTTCGGTCGTTAAAGATTCTGTTTAAGTAGAAAACACCCACTGATCCTATGCACAGTTAGAGTAGTTTTAGAAAAAATGCTGATTACAATAAAAAACTTTGTCAAACCACTGACTCGCACATCAAGTTTTGACCAAAACCAAGGCATCGTTTTCAGTTACTAGTTCCGGAGGGTCCGGGGG